TAAAAAAAAAAAAAAAAGAAAGAAAAACAAAATAAAACAAAAAAAATCTCTTTCCTCATCTAAAATTACTAATAAGAGGAAGAAACAGCTGGACACAATGTGGGAGAGAATGTAACCCATAACAGGTTCCTACAAATTGATTTTTTAAAATGCAGAAAACTCAACAAAAAATTAAAAAGAAAACCAGAATAGGTATTTACCCATGAAAAAATAACTAAATGGTTAATATACATTTGTAAGCTTGCTCATTTGTAAGGTTACCTCAGTAGTAGCCAAGGAAACACAAATTAAAACTATAGAATACTACTTTATACCCACCAGAATAGCTAAAATTATATTAGTTTAATAGCAAGTGTCGACAAGAATGCAGAGCAGTGAGAACTCACATACTCTTCTGATGGGAGGACAAACTGCTATAATCTCCTCAGAAAACAATTTGGCCTTATCTACTGAACTTGAAAATATGCAGCAATCCTACCACTGTGTCTTTACCAACATAAATGCATGTATATGTGCTCCAAGAACCTTGTACAAGGATGTTCAAAGATACAATAGCTTAGCTTCAAACTGAAAACCCAAGTTCTCATCAACAGAAAAACAGATAAATTATGGTATATTCATATGAGTATACAGCTATTCCTACATGAAACAATAAGAATGACTTGCCCACATAATTTTGAAAGAAGCTAGATACTAAATATACATACATGATGTATCTAGAGCTCAAAATTAGCAAAGCAAAACTGTAGTGTTAGAATTATAACAGTGGCTATTTCTGGGAAGGCGATGGGTGGTGATTAGGAGGATGCATGAGGGCCGCTTCTGGGGCACTGATAATATTCTATTTCTTGACCTGGGTGGTAGTTACACAGGTGTAGCTCTGTGATAATTTAGTGAAACCTACATTCTCTATGTGTGAGAATGTATTTTTCACTACAAAAAAAGTTTGAACAAAAGCAAAAACCAAAACAAACAAAAACCAAAAAATAACCTGGCTATGTTTATTCCTAATTCAGAGGGCTGGAATTTTTTTTCCTCAGCAACAACATAATGAATCAGAACTGAAGTATTTGGCATGAAAAAGTCTTATTACTCTCTTACATCTTCGGGTGCAATAATATTAATTCTCACAAACTTATGTGATTTATTTACATTAATAACTATATATTCCATTTTTTATCATGCAGATTAAAAAAAAAACATAATTAGATTCTTATTAGATCAAGTCCAAATTTCTCAGCCTGCCATTGAAAGCCTTCTGTCATTTAAAAGAAGCTTTTTTGTCTCCTAGCTTCTAGGTGGCTCCATCTATCCAGGAGAAAATTATCTATGTGACAACTCAAACTCTCCATTCCTACTAGTTTGGCTTCTAGCCAGTTCTCACTCAGTTATCCTTTTCTGATTGTCTGTTTCTCATTCCCAAGAGCCTAAACTTTAAATAGCCTCCAAGAATCTAAGTCTTTCCTTCTCCCTGAAACCTAAATAATTAAGTATATAAATGATGTTTTCATATTTTTTTGTTTGCATTATCTCTTCCAAGACTTAAAATTTAGATTGCCTAGTCCATCAAAGTTACTAGTTCACTTAGAGATACAGTAAAAGCCTGATAAATATCTGGTATCTGCATGTGGATATATGGGACGCTAGACAGTAAAGAGGTAACAAAAAGTCAACTATTCCTCGATGGTCTCTAAAAGCATTAATGCTCTGGAGGCTTTGAGCTCCAGACAGAAGTTTAGCTGGGTATTTTCTTTCTTTCTTTTTTAGCTGGGTATTTTCATTACATACAACATCTAATGAGCACTAAAACACAAAATTATGGGTGAAGGGCAAAAAACATCTAGTTAAAATAGGAAGATTTGAACTATACTACAAGTTTAAATATTTAAGTACACAGAATACTTTCATGAATCCCAATGAATTCAGTAAAAGACTGAGCAAATATCAATAAATCTTTTAAATGCTGTTAAAAATAGTCTTATTCACTATTTGGAGATATCCTAATAATCTCTGGTGATATAGTACTTTTTTGTTTTTTGTTTTTTTAAACACAGGGTCTCATTCTGCCACCTAGGCTGGAATACAGTGGTTCGGTCATGGCTCACTGCAGCCTCCAATTCCTGGGCTCAAGCAAACCGCCCACCTTAGCCACCCAAGTAACGAAGACTACAGGCATAGACTACCATACCCAGCTAATTTTCTATTTTTGGTAGATATTGGAGTCTCACTATGTTACCCAAGATTGTCTCAAACAAAATCCTCCTCAAGTAATCCTCTTGCCTTAGCGTTCCAAAGTGCTGGGATTACATGCATGAGCCGCTGTGCCTGAGCAGATAGTGCTTTTAAAATAAGCAAACAAGTAGAATAAACCAAAAATTAATCAAAATTTAGTGACTGGTTAATCTCTGAGGAATGTTAGCAATCTGGTATGATATGACAAATTAGTGTATGGTATCAGAAACAAAGAATAATTAGCAAATATAAAAATTAAGTTTTGGTCAATGATGCAATCAAAAAAGAAAAAATTTTTACAAATTAATTTATTTACAACTTATTACCTAAGCTAATAAATAACTGTTTTACTGCAACAAAACATGTTTAAAATATTATTAAGTGAGTGCGTCTTTACATTAATCCCCCAGACTCTGTTCAGCAAATACCGGCATGTGCCATCACTTCAGAAGTCCGTAATGAAACCAGTGGTTGACCTAGTCTATACAGAAGATCCAATTAATATGCCAGTAACCCCTAAAAGGGACATTAGTAGTATTCCTCTTTGCTGAAAAAGTATATGTCATTGAAATATTAAGTTAAAAATCCTGAAAAATTTCAACATACGTGAGCTTTATGATAAGGGTTGTTGTCTTTGATTCCTGGCAAATATCTACGTCTTCCGAAAATGGTCTGAACAAACCCATCTCTTTTACAATTCTTCACTGTCTCACTCATGAATTGATTAATCCCTACAAAGAAAATACAGAAATAATTAATTAGAACAAAAGTCTATCCTTCACTTCATTCACTGGTTTAAATATAGCAAAACATACCAAAACCCTACCATGATTTACTGATATTTCTAATATATTGTTGTATTCCATTTGCTACTATTTTGTTAAGGATGTTTGCATAAATTTTCATCAGAAATATTGGCCTGTAGGTAGGTTTTGTTTATTTGTTTGTTTTGATGTGTCTTTGTCTGGTTTTGGGATCAGGGTAATACTGGCCTCATAGAATGAGTTTAGAAGTGCTCTCTTCTATTTTCCAAAATAGTTTGAGTAGGACTGGTATTAGTTCTTTAAATTTTTGGTAGAATTCAGCAGGGCAGCCATTGAGCTCCAGGCTTTTCTTTGTGGGAAACTTTTAATTTATGGCGTGAATCTCATTACTTAGACTGTTCAAGTTTTAGATTTCTTCTTGGTTCAATGTGTCTAGGATTCCTATGTGTCTAGGAATTTACCCATTTCTTCTAGATTTTCCAAATTACTGGCATATTGTTGCTCATAGTAGCCACTAACGATCCTTTGAATTTCTGGGATATTTGTTGTGCTGTCTCCTTTTTCACTTAGGATTTTATTTTGATCTTCTTCTTTTTTCTTAGTCTGGCTAAAGGTGTGTCAATTTTATCCTTTAAAAAAAAAAAAAACAAGAACAAAACAAAAACCAGGCCAGGTGCAGTGGTTCAAGCCTGTAATCCCAGCACTTTGGGAGGCCGAGGCGGGTGGATCACGAGGTTAGGAGTTTGAGACCAGCTTGACCAACATGGTGAAACCTCATCTCTACTAAAAATACAAAGATTACCTGGGTGTAGTGGCACATGCCTGTAATCCCAGCTACTCAAGAGGCTGAGGCAGGAGAATTGTCTGAACCTGGGAGGCGGAAGTTGCAGTGAGCCAAGATTGTGCCACTGCACTCCAGCCTGGGCGATAGAGTGAGACTTCGTCTCAAAAGCAAAACAAAACAAAACGACAGCTTATTTTCAGGCCAGGCACAGTGGCTCATTGTTGATATTCACTCAGGGTGGCTGGCAAAATATTAAGGAAAATATTAGGGAAAGTTATAGATTATAACCTCAAACCTTTTGGAAGGCCAAGAAGTTTTATTGAGGCATGCTGAAGGCAGCCGCCTCATTAGCATTAGCATAAGAAAGAGAGAGACAATCAAAGGCCTTCCCAGTTTTAAGTCTGTTTACCACACATCCCTTTGTCTCTACTCTGTTTACTCACGTAAACTTTGGGCTGGATGGTCCTCTGAGAGGGAGATCAAAGAGGAATCACCTGTTATTAGTGTTTACTCTGGGCCCAGAACCTAAAGCTTTTATCATTCATAAAACCACTCTTTTCACCATGTTAATTATCCACAACCATGTTGACTCAGAACCTCTATTATGAATAAATTTGTGGATGGATAGAAGGTCTTGGTCAATTGGTTGAATTTTACTCTCTGAAAGCAGCCAACAGCCATCCCTGCCCACTTGTATCACTGTAATGGTGTGAGAGTGCATTCGTTCATCCATTATTGAGTCAGGGTCTACAGGACAGACAGGTGGTGGTTGACATCTTAGCTGATGCTTGTAATCCCAGGCTGAGATGGGCAGATCACTGGAGGTTGGGAGGCCAACATGGCAAAATTCAGTGTCTATTAAAAATGCAAAAATTAGCTGGGCATAATGGCGTACACCTGTAATCCCAGCTGCTTGGGAGGCTGAGGCAGGATAATTGCTTGAACCCAGGAGTTAGATGTTGCAGTGAGCCAAGATCACACCACTGTCTGCCAGCCTGGATGACAGAGAAAAACTCCATCTCAAAAAAAAGAAAAGCAATAACCAATAATGATTTGTTTTGTTGCTCTTTTGTATTGTTTTGTTTCAATTTCATTCTTTATTTCTACTCTGATCTTTATTATTTCTTTTCCTCTACTAATTTTGGATTTGTCTTGCTCTTTTCTAGTTCTTTATGATGCATTGTTAGGTTATTTATTGCAAGTTTTCTCCTTTTCTTTTAAATGTGGGCACTTATAGCTATAAACTTCCTTCTTAGCACTGCTTTTGCTGTATCCCATTGGTGCTGGTATGTTGTATTTCCATTATTAAGAAATTTTAAAATTTCCTTCTTTTTAATTGACTCACTGGTCACTGATGAGCATATTGTTTAATTTCCATGTTTGTATAGTTTCCAAAATTCCTTGTTATTGATTTCTAGTTTTATTCCATTGTGGTCAGAGGAGATACTGATATTAATTTAATTTTTTGAATGTTTCAAAACTTGTGATCTAACATATAGTCTATCCTTGAGAATAATCCATGTGCTGAAGAGAAGAATGTGTATTTGGTAGCCACTGAATGAAATGTTCTACAAGTATCTATTAGGTCCATTTGGTCTATAGTGCATATTTAGTACAATTTCTTAGATTTTCTGTCTGGAATATCTGTCCACTGCTCAGAGTGGGGTGTTGAAGTCTCCAGTTATTATTGTCAGGATCTCTCTCTTTATCTTTAGCTTTAATGATGTTTGCTTTATATGTCCAGATGCTCCAATATTGGGTACATATATAATTCTTATATTCTCTTGCTTGACTCCTTATTCATTATATGATGACATTCTTTGTCTCTTTTCATAATTTTTGTCTTGAAATCTATTTTGTCTGACACAAGTATAGCTACTTTTGATCTTTTTTGGTTTCTGTTCGCATGGAATCGCTTTTCCATCCCTTCATTTTCAGTTTATATCTTTAGAGGTGAAGTGTGTTTCTTGTAGGCAACAGAGCATTGGCTCTTGTTTTTCTTTTTTCCAAAATCTATGCAGCCACTCTAGGTCTTTTTATTGGAGAGTTTAGTCCATTTACATGTAGTGTTATTACTGAAAGGTAAGGACTACAACATTTTGGTGTTTTCTTGTTTTGGGTTTTTTTTTTTNTCTCCTTTCCTTCATTCCTGTCTTTCATTTAATAAAGGTGATTTTTTTTTCTGGTGGTATGATTTAATTTCTTGCTTTCTAATTTTTGTGTATCTTGTATGTTTTTTATTTGAGTTACCATGAGACTTGCAAAAATACTGTCTTATAACCTATTATTATTATTAGTTGAGACAAAGTCTTGCTTTGTTGCCCAGGCTGTAATGGTGCAGTCTTGGCTCCCTGCAACCTCCGCCTCCTGGGTTCAAGCGATTTTTCCGCCTCAGCCTCCCAAGTAGCTGGAATTTCAGGCACCTGACATCATGCCCAGCTAACTTTTGTATTTTTTTGTAGAGACAAGGTTTCACTATGTTGGCCAGGCTGGTCTTGAACTCCTGACCTCAGGTGATCCACCTGCCTTGGCTTCCCAAAGTTCTGGGATTACAGGTGTGACCCACTGCACCTGGCCCACTTTTTAACTTTTTGTTGTTTCTATTTATTTCTTATTGTACTGCCTATAACTTGAAAATCTGTTATAGATATTTTTGATTAATCTTTTTGTCTTTCCATTTAAGATAATAGTTGGCACATCACAATTACAATATTATAATATTCTGTGTTTTTCTGTGTTCTTACTATTATCAGTGAGTTCTGTACCTTCAGATGATTTGTTATTGCTCATTAACATCCTTTTCTTTCTAATTGTAGAACTCTTTTTGGCATTTCTTGTAGGACAACTCTGGTGTTGATGAAATCCCTCAGCTTTCATTTGTCTGAGAAAGTATTTTTTTCCTCCTTCATATTTGAAAGATATTAATATTTTTGCCAGATATATTATTCTAGGGTAAAAGCTGTTTTCCTTCAGCACTTTAAATATGTCATGCCACTCTCTCCTGGCCTGTAAGGTTTTCACTAAAAGTCTGCTGCCAGACATATTGGAGCTCCATTGTTTATTATTCTATTATTTTCTCTTGCTGCTTTTAGGATCCTTTCTTTACCCTTGACCTTTGGGAGTTTGATTATTAAATGTCTTGAGGCAGTCTTCTTTGAGTTAAATCTGTTCTATAACTTTCTTTTACTTGAATATTGGTATCTTTCTCTAGGTTTGGAAAGCTCTTTATTATCTCTTTGAATACATTGTGTACTCCTATCTCTTTCTCTACTGCCTCTTTAAGGCCAATAACTCTTAGATTTGCCCTTTTGAGGCTATTTTCTGATGTTGCAGGTATGCGTCACTCTTTTTTATACTTTTTACTTTTGTCTTTTCTGTTAATTTCCAAATAGCCGGTCTTCAAACTCAGTAATTCTGCTTGAATAATTCTGCTATTAAGAGACAATGATGTACTCTTCAGTATGTCAACTGCATTTTCCTACTCCAGAATTTCTGCTTGATTCTTTTTATTTTTTATTTTATCTTTTGAAATGGAGTTTCATTCTTGACCCCCAGGCTGAAGTGCAATTGCATGATGTCGGCTCACTGCAACCTCCGCCTCCCAGGTTCAAGTGATTCTCCTGCCACAGCCTCCCAAGTAGCTGGGATTACAGGCATGTGCCAGCACTCCCGGCTAATTTTTGTATTTTTAGTAGGGACAGGGTTTCACCATGTTGGCCAGGCTGGTCTCAAACTCCTGACCTCAATGGTCTGCCCACCTTAGCCTCCCAAAGTGCTAGGATTATGGGTGACAGCCACCGTACCTGGCCATGCTTGATTCTTTTTAATTATTTCAACTTGTTAAATTTTTGACAGAATTCTGAAATCCTTCTCTGTGTTATCTTGAATTTCTGTGACTTTCCTCAACATAGCCATTTTGAATTCTCTGTCTCAAAGGTCACATATCTGCATTTCTATATGACTGGTCCCTGGTGCCTTAGTTTACTTGGTGATGTCATGTTTTCCTGGATGGTCTTGATGCTTGTGGAAGTTTGCCTGGGCATTGAAGAATTAGATATTTATTGTAGTCTTCACAATCTGGGCTTGTTTGTATCCATCCTTCTTGGAAACACTCGAAGAGACTTGGGTGTTGTTATCTTAGCTGTATCTGCATTAGGGTGCCACCTAAACCCAGTAATGCTATGGTTCTTGCAGACCTGTAGAGGTACCACTTTGGCAGTCTTGGGTAAGATCTGGAAGAATTCTCTGCTTTACCAGATACAGACTCTCATTCTCTACCCTTACTTCCTCCCAAATGAATGGAGTCTCTCTCTCTGTGGTAAGCCAGTGTTTTTCTTTAATGGCTAATCCAATGTTATGAAATAAGAAGTCTTTGCCCACCTCAACGTTACAATGGATTCTCCCTTATTTTCTTCTGGAACATTTAAAGTTTTAGCTATGTACTTTTAGAGTCTATATTCCACATCAAGATAATTTTTGTATATGATGTGAGGTAAAATTTTGTATATAATGTGAGACAAATATTGAGGTTGATTTTTTTTTTCCAGTACTGGTGTCTGGTTGTTCTAACACCAATTGCTGAAAAGACCATCCTTTCATCAATTGAATTACGATGGCAACTTTGTTGAAAATCAATCAACTATATATATGTGTGTGTGTGTGTGCGTGTGTGTGTGTGTGTGTGTGTGTGTGTGTGTGTGTGTGTATATATATATATATGCCTATTTCTGGGTCTTCTATTATGTTCCATTGTTCTCTTTGTCTACCTTATACCTATCTTGATTATTGTGGTTTTATAAGTTTTGAAATCAGGGAGTGTAAGTCTTTAACATTGTACTTTTCCCAAAACCTGATCTTCGTTATTTCAGGCTCTTTGAATTGCCATATAAATTTAAAATCAGCTTGTCAAATTCTATACAAAAGCCTAATGAATTTTTATTGGAATCACACTGAATCCACAAAACAATTTACAGAGAACTGTCATCATAACAATGTTTCTCTTTTCAATAAATTAACACGGTATACCTCACATTTATTTAAGTATTTGTCAGCTCTCAGGATTGCTTCGGAGTTTTCAATAAATAAGTCTTGCACACAATCTGCTAAATCTATGCCAAGTATTTCATGGCTTTTGATGCTTCATTTGCTAATTATTTGTTGCTAGAATACAGAAATACAGTCTATTTTTACAGACTGAACCTTGCTAAATTTAGTTATTTGTTCTACTAATTGTTTTTGTAGAAGCCATGTGATTTTTTACGTACAAGGTCATATCACATGTGACCAAAAGGTTTATTTTTCCTTTTAAATCTATCTGCTTTTTTCTTCTTGTGGTATTGCATTGTTTGCTTCCGTACCGATGGGGGTAAGGGACAGGGTTGATTAAAAAAAAGTATAAAAGAACGTTTTGGGAGGATAGAGTAATGGTTCTATATCTTGGTTGTGGTGTAATTTTAAGAACATATTCATTTGTCAAAATTCACAGAACTTCTCATCCTTAAACTTGTCTTTCAAAGAAAAAACAATTCACAGAACTATATACCATTTTCAGGATGAATCTTATTATCATATATAAATTATACCACGACAAACAGGCAAAAAAGATTATTTAAGGCTACTCAAACTGCTCTATAACAGCAATTGTTCTCAGAGTTCCTCAAATATTTAATTAGCAATTGTCAGAATTCCTTGTATATATACTCCAGTTTACTGTTTCAAACTACAGCTATCTAAACCAAAGCACAAGTCAACTCCCAGATGTTATGGGATGTTCACAATGACAGAGTAGCTATACATCAACTACATTTTACTATTCTGTCTCTAATGAAAAATACAAAATAAGATTATTACAACTTAGTAAGTGATCATAACAAGGTTAATATTATTTACCCTCAACAATGCCTGATGAAAATTTCTAATAGATATTTCAATAGAAAATTCCATAACACAAATTTAAAAAATATAATATGGTAAGATGGTTGAAAAGAATACTATCTAGAAGATAAATTACCTGTGTATCTGGATTTGAAGGAGTCAATATAGCAAGCAGCATCATTTTCTTTAATGCCCATCTGCTCTCCCAAAGACTTAGCTCCCATTCCATAAATGATTCCATAGCAAATCTGAAAGGGAGTCATCCAACAAATAAAGCTTGTAAGTACACCAAATGCAAATAAAAGAGTTCATTAGAATTGAAATTTTGGCAACCTTTTAATTTCACAGTGAGTCAAAAATGATTAGATTGCTTTTGCTGAGTTAGATCCACAGAGGCTGATATCCAGCAAACATCTTTTCTGCCTTTCAGCATTACTTTTTGAGAGAGAGAGGAAGGCAGGAGGGAGTATGAATGAATAGGTGTGTGTGATCTAAGGAAAAATTTATTTTTGACTATTTCTCCTTTTTTTTCTTTTATTTATTTTTTATGTCTCTTTTTTTTGTTTGTTTGTTTGACTATTTCTCTTTTATCCAGCAGTCTTTATAGCAAGTTTTTACTCCTCACAGTACTTCACTAACTTCCACTTCAAGTGCCTAGGAGTCAGGGAAGAGAAGCATTACAAATGTCCCTCTCCTTGCCCTTGAACAAGACTTTAAAAATAGAAAGAGCAGGCTTCATGACTTTATGACAGGGAAGACTCAATTGGAAAAAAATATCCTTCTTACCTCACAGCCACCTAAAACGCCACAACTGCAGAATTCATTTCACTTAAATACAAATAAAAACTCAAGAAAATTTCGGAAGCAATGAAGGGAAATTATCTATAAATAGGGCATTAAAGAAAGTCTGATTTAATCATAAGGACTGCCGGGGCTCAAAGCCCAGCTCTACCATTCACAAAATGTATAATCTTGCATAAGTCACCTAACCTCTTTGTCTCTTACTTTCTTCATCTAAAAAATGAAGGTAGTAATACCTACATCATGGGATGGTTAGGTTTAAATGAGTTATTACTTATAACTTTACAGAACTCACATAAAGCAAACTCTGTATAAATATCATTAAATAAAATCTAAAAAGATAATTTGCTTAAAATAATTATCACAATTTCAAAAAACTTTCCACATGATAAACTTTCAACATGATATAGCTAAAGTCTACCCCATCCCCACCCCTGTGTTTTTTAATATATTGAGAGAGGGCTTTTTTCCTTTCTGTTTTTTTTTTTTTTTTTTTGTTTGTTTGGTAGAGTCTCATTCTGTCACCCAGGCTGGAGTGCAGTAGAGGGTTCAGGCAATTCTCCCACCTCAGCTTCCCGCATAGCTGGGATTACAGGCATGAGTCACTGTGCCTGGCTCTGTTAATCTTTTATATGGGGGTCTTTGTGTTCTTCATAACTACTGCAAGTTTTTTTTTTCCACAATTTGTTTTCTTGTGACTCCTGTTGTTTTTTTAACTCATGTTACTTAGTGCTGTCTGAGATCTCAGCAAGACTCAGGGATTAGGTGGTTTGGTACGTGGTGATATAAACAAAAACTGGTATAGCATAAACACTATTAAATCATGTGAGTCTATTAAATAGAAGCAGCTGTCTCCAGAGGATGAGTGTGTTGGATAAGAAGTCGTGCCCAAGTTCTGGCATTCTGAATTTATTCTGGCTCTACCACTTATAGCTGCATGACCTTAAACAAATTACTTTCTGTGCTTCAGTTTCCTCCTCTATAAAATGGTGATAGTAATAATATTAGCTATGCTATCTCATGGGTTATGAGAATTAAATATGGGAATGTTATCTATTTTACCAAGGGTTTGATTCTTGCTAAATGCAGGACGCCTCTGGGGATTAAATAGAGAAGACAGAGCTGGCTTTTTAAATAGTTGAAGAAACAAGTGTTGGTGTTAACCAGGTGGTGGTGAGAGGAAATGTCCCATGCTCAATGAGCCAGTCAAGACATATAGCTGTGAGCTGGGTGCAGTGGCTCATGCCTGCGATCCCAACAATTTGGGAGGCCAAGGCAGGAGGATCACTTGAAGCCAGGAGTTCAAGACCAGCCTGGGCAACAAATTGAGACCCCATATCTCAAAAAACAAAACAAAACAAAAAAAGACAGCTGTGAGGAACTAAAAGTGTAAATGTGAAAGAAAAACAGCAGAATCTCAGCGTACAGTGGTGTACATTCACCTCAGCCAGAAATCCTACTGTCTTGCAAATGGTATCAGATGTCTCACAAGTTATATGGTAAGAAAGTGTCAATGTTAACCCAGGCCAAGGAATGGTATAAATGTGGCCTTTGACTTACTCTTTGCCTAATAGTTATCCAGAGTAGAAATTAATATGGATCTATTTCAAAGTTACAAAGGCAGCATGGAGTTTCATAAGTGGATTAACTAACCAATAACTTCAAGAGCTAAAAAGCTATCAGGTACTCAATATAATCTACAGCTCAGCAATATTTTTTCAACAAACATTTGGAGACCACCTTTTTTACAAAGCGCTATGCCTTGATGCTAGGAGAAAATATAAAAATGAAAATATGGAACTTTACCTCAGAAGACTTGAAGACCAGAAGGAGGTTTCTTAAATATACATATTCGCACGCCTGCAGGTGTGCATGAACACACACACGCTGACCATCATCACCACCATGACATCTACTGAGTACCAGGCACTGTGGCTAGCCATATAATGGCTTTAAATGCATATGGTTTTCCTAACACAAAGCAGCCTCAGATCTCAGATCTCAGTCTTTCTGGTTATTTCTACTGCCTCCACAAAAGAAAGTAAAACAAATACCATGAGATAAGCTCAGATGAAATGTGCTTTGAAAGATCCAAAGATGGAGAAATGGTTTCTCAGTTGCAAATAATTGAGACCATTTTTAAAATTTTTGAGTCCCTAAATTCTTCTCCTTTATATTAAGCATGTTCACTAAAATCACCTGCTTTGCCTGCTGCCTCAGATCATCCCCAACGGACTCTGGCTCAATCATCTTCCATTCTGCTGCAATGCTCCTGAAAACATCAGCTCCAGTGTTTAACACTTGAATGAGACGACGATCGTGGGATAAATGAGCCAAGATCCTCAGTTCAAGCTGAGAGTAGTCAGCAGCCAGTATTAAACCACCTGAAGTAGAAGTGATTTCAGAAAAGCTAGTACAAAGTTCTCTATCACACAACCCAACTTCTACATCATATAATTGAGCAGGATGACAGAAATTTAGGTCTAACTTAGAACTTTGAAATCATATGTCAAAGTTAAAACCTTCCTCTTAATATGATGTAACTCAGCTCTGTATCTTAGATCATTTTTTTCCATTAGGAAGCTTAATTTTCATTTTCTTTCTACAGAAAACCTTGTACAGTTGCTAGTATATAATCAGCCTTTAACAAATGGTTGTTGAATGAATTAATGAAAAAACTGGTGTGAAAAAACTGGTGTCCAATGTGTGCAAATGTTAAGTGGGCTGGAGAGAAATGTGTGCCCCGCTTTGACAATAACAAAGTCATTAAATGAAAAAAAAATCAAGTAGTCAATAGCTGAGCAAATTATTAAAAGGATTAAAATAATTTACCTATAGATTAGAAATGAGTAGATTAGATATGCATGAAAAAAACAAAAACAAACTTAAAAAAATACGCCAGGCGTGGTGGCTTACCCCTCTAATCCCAGCGCTTTGGGAGGCTGAGGTGGGCAGATCATGAGGTCAGGAGGTTGAGACCATCCTAGCCAATATGGTGAAATCCCGTCTCTAGTAAAAATATTTTTTAAAAAATTAGCCAGGCATGGTGGTGCATGCCTGTAGTTCCAGCTACTTGGCAGGCTGAGGCAGAATTGCTTGAACCCGGGAGACAGAGGTTGCAGTGAGCCGAAATCACACCACTGCACCCCAGCCAGGGCAACAGAGCAAGATGCCATCTCTAAATAAATAAATAAATGCAGGGTCAAAGAAAAATTAGAAAAAATATTTGCAACTGATATCACAAAGAACTCATTGCCATTTCATAAGAAGAGTTTTTACTTGTGGAGAATAAGATGAACTTTAAATAAGAAGTTCAGACATACTAAAAATAAAAGAACCTTAAATATGTTAAAGAATGCTCAACTTCATAAGAGAAATGAAAAGTCTGTAGCAAGAAACAATTTTTCTTCAGCTATATTGCAAAAAATACAGAAGTTGGGCAACACTCTGTGACAAGGTTGAGAAGAAACACATTCATATGTTGTTACTGAGAAGTAAAATGGTAACCTCCTCCCCATTAGTTGGCAATTTAACAATATCTATAGAAATTAAACAGGTTTTTACTCCATGACTCAGCAAACACGCCCACAGATTGCTGCACACACTATCTGCACACAGTTTAAACTGTTTTTAATTAAAATGTCCTTATTGATAAGCACAAATCTTTAGTATAGAAACATTACATGAAAAAAGCAAGGTACATAATAGTGTAGGCAGAATGCTAATTTTGTGTAAAAATAGGGAAATAAAAAATTATATATCCATATTTGCTTATATCTGCATAAAGAAATACTGTCAAAATATATAAAAAACTCATACACATAGTAACCTCTAAGAGTTGGGAAGGATAATGTAGATGATAGGTAAGGAAGCAAAGCTTCCCAATACTCATCTTTTATATCATGTTGGTTTCTCAACATGTAAATTAATAACCTATTCAAAAATAGAGATAAATACTAATTTAAAATACAGGTTGAGCATCCCTAATCCAAAATTCCAAAATCCAATATGCTCCAAAATCCAAAACTTTTGAGCACCAACAAGATGCTCAAATGTCATGCTCACTGGGGCATTTCAGATTTTGGATTTTTGGATTAGAGATGTTCAATTGGTAAAGATAGAGTAAATATTCTAAAATCCAAAAAAAAAAAAAAAAAATCTAAATCTAAAACATTTCCAGTCCCAAGCATTTCGCATAAGGGATATTCAACCTGTAAATGACAACTTTGGTGGACTTCCTACCACAACTATAAAACTGGACAAATTATATGAAAAAAACAATTCTCAGATGTTAGACAACAAGCCAGGCAGAACTATAATCACTGAGAAGGGAAGGAAACGAGGTGAGTCACACAAAGTTCTCAGGGATCTGAATGGAGGCACTTTCCAGAATCTGTAGCAGGGAAGGGTAGCTGAAACACAGCACTGTGTCTCTCTCTGAATGAAGAAAACAGAGTCTAGAGTTTGGGCCTTTGAGGCAGCTGGAATTTGGAGAGAAAAATGGTGTGCATAAAAGCAGCACCAGAAATAAGCACAGGAATCCCCTTGGATTTTTGACCAAATATTAAGTTGTGCAGGGAGAAAGTGCAGGGCACCAGGCAAAGAACACACACTAAAGAAATAACTATTACTAAAGGAAGAACAAACACTGCATAGCTTTTAGCTGAACAACTAATTCAACAATACATTCTTTTTTTTTTTTTTGAGATGGAGTCTTGCTCTGTTGCCAGGCTGGAGTGCAGTGGTACGATCTTGACTCACTGCAGCCTCTGCCTCCCAGGTTTAAGCGATTCTCCTGCCTCAGCCTCCTGAGTAGCTGGGACTACAGCTGCACGCAACCACGCCCAGCTAATTTTTGTTTTTTTAATAGAGACAGGGTTTCACCATGTTGGCCAAGATGGTCTCGAACACTTGACCTCGTGATCCGCCCACCTTGGCTTCCCAAAGTGCTGGAATTACAGGCGTGAGCCACCGTGCCCAGCCCAACAACACATTCTTGAATGCTGGGAAATGACCAAGCTCTAACAAGACCGAGAAGAGATCTTATTAAACAGCTTCAGCACCAAGTGGACTCCAAAAAGGCCACAACTTATGAACAGGAATAATCTAGCCCTAGAGTGCAGGCTACTCCAAACATTTGTTAGCGAAGCCTCAAAGGCCTCAAAAGGACCAAGCTGATGTGAAAGTAAACTGTCTGACAAAAGAAACCTTTACTTCAGTATTTGTTAATTTAGTGTTCATTGTGGCTTTGTATAATGCACTACCATGAATAACAAGAATCAATCACATTTCACAAAAACCAAAAGATCTTCAAATAACCTACCTGATATGGTTTGGCTATGTCCCCACCCAAATCTCACCTTGAATTGTAATAAGACTCACATGTCAAGGGCAGGGCCAGGTGAAGATAACTGAATTATGGGAGTGTCCCCCTATACTGTTCTCATGGTGGTAAGTCTCATGAGATCTGATGGTTTTATAAATGGGAGTTCCCCTGCATAAGCTCTTGCCTGCCACCACGTAAGATGTCCCTTGCTCTTCCTTCATCTTCCACCATGATTGTGAGGCCTCCCCAGCCATGTGGAACTGTGAGTCCATCAAACCTCCTTCCTTTGCAAATTACTCGGTCTCAGGCAGGTCTTTATTAGCAGCATGACAATGGACTAATAAACTACCAAACAATTACCTATCGAGTCTATAGGTAACCTGTCTAACAGTATCAGAGATTAATCAAATTTCAAGTATTTCTTTTTTGGCTTTGGAAGAATTGTCCCATAACAGAGAAACTGCTTAATTAATATTCTGAATAGGTTTTGTCTCAGTGGACTTCTAAATTTATAAAGAAAATACCATTCTTAGCTTACAAAATCAAACTAGTGGCACAGATATTTTGGAATCTTTTACATTTATCAAAGAAGAATTTCAAGTAGATATGAAAAAAATAGCTTTCATCATATAGTCAATAGTCTAGCTTTGTCATTAAAAACTTATTTTTTTTAGAGTTTTAAACAGGGTCTGTTTCCCTATTTCTTCATTCTACTCTATGTATAGAAAAGATTTATGCTCAGTTTTCTATATCAGACCATCAAAAGGGTTATAACACAGTTAAAATTATTTTATGTAAATGTACAAATGCTGAGTCATCACCAGCTTAAGGAGCTGCTGAAAATAGAAAACAATGAATGTAACAATCTTGCGTACGCTACCAAAGCTCATTGTTTGATTCATGAAAGTCTTACAAAGATTTACTGTACTCCAATATTTTCTTGAAACAGAAGAACGCTTGCCACGTATTTTGTAATCAAAGACAAAAAGAACAATGTGATTTATGTTTTTTGACTGATATCACACAGCATATATTTGAGGCTCCAAAAAAAGGGAAGAGTGTGCTTGTGACCTAGCTAGACAGGTATGAGAATTTATCTGGAAATGAAAACTTTTTATAAAACTAATCAATAATGGACTAGGTGCAGTAGCTCACACCTGTAATTCCAGTAATTGGGGAGGCCAAGGCTGGGGGATCATTTGAGCCCAGGAGTTCCAGACAAGCCTCAGCAACACAGCGGGAACCCCCATCTCTTCCAATAATAATAACTTTATGCATTTTTCAAGTATAAAGCAATATACAGCATAATTACAATCAACAGGTTATATAAACTGCAACTATTAAAAAAATTTTTAAATGCTCTGATGCTGATAAATTTAGAGTTGCTTTTTTATTTAAGTAATAATCCTTTGAATTTGACATAATATAGGTATGGCATCCTTAATCTGAAAATTCAAAATCTAAAATGTTCCAAAATTTAAAACTTTCTGAACACTGACATGATGCTACAAGTGGAAAGTTCCACAACTGACCTCTTGTAACAAGTCAAAGTTATAACTTTGTTTCATGCATAAAATTTAAAATATTGTATAAAATTACCTTTAGGCTATGTCTATAAGGTGTACATGAAACATAAATTTTATATTATGACTTGGATCCCATCTCCAAAATATCGCATTATGTATATGCAAATATTCCAAAATCTCAAATACTTTTAGTCTCAAGGATTCGAGACAAGGGATACGCAACCTGTCATAATGAGTAACATAAGAGTTGGTAAATTTACTTAACTTGTACAGACATTGTTTTGTAATAGATATTTCTGCTTCAAAGTCAAATTAATACTTCGGAGAAAATATGAACCAGCTTTGTTAATACAGATGCTATCTTTTTTTAAAAATGAGTTTCTAAAACATAGAAAAAGACAAAAAAAATGAGTTTCTGGTACTCAATTCAGTTACTGGGATTTTCTTTTTCTTTTTTTTGAGATAGTGTCTTGCTCTTTCGCCTAGGCTGGAGTGCAGTGGCACAATCATGGCTTAGTGCAGCCCCAACCTCCTGGGCTTAAGTGATACGATATTCAGACCTCAGACTCCTCAGTAGCTGGGACTACAGATGCACACCACTATGCCTAGCTAATTTTTTAATTTTCTGTAAAGATGGGGTCTCCCTATGTTGCCCAGGCTGGTTGTGAAGTCCTGGACTCAAGCAACCTTCCTGCTTCGGCCTCCCAAAGGGCTGGGATTACAGGTGTGAGCCACCATGGCTTGCATGAAATAAAGTATGTTTGAAACAACATGGGCATGTGATCTACTTTGTCAAAATATAAGTTTTATAAAATCAAGCATACCTTGCTTTATTGCACTTCACTTTATTATGCCTCATAGATATTGCAGTTTCTTTTAAAGAAATTAAAGGTTTTTGGCAACTCTGAGTGGAGCAAGTCTATCAGCACCATTTTCCAACAGCATGTGTTCACTGTGACACATTTTATTAATAGTAATGTTCATATTACTTCAAAGCCTCTCATTATTACCTGTTATGGTGATCTTTGATGTTACTATTATTACAATCCATGAACCACACTCACGTAAGAGTGAACTTCATCGATCAATGTTGTGTGTGTTCTAACTACTCCACTAACTGGCTGTTCCCCACTCTCTCTCTCTCAGAACTCCTTTCTCCCCTCTCTCTCTCAGACCTCCCTATTCCCTGAGATACAATTTTAAAATTAGGCCAATTAATCACCCTACAATGGCAATGACCTCTAATTGTTCAAGTGAACGAGAAAGTCACATCTCTCTCATACTAAACCAAAAGCTAGAAATTAAGCTTATTGAAGAAGGCATGTCAAAAGCTGAGACAGGTTGAAAGCTAGGCCTCTTGTGTCATACAGTTAGCCAAGTTGTGAATGCAAAGGAAAAGTTCTGGAAGGAAATTACAAGTGTTACTCCAGTGAACACATGAATAATAGGAAGACAAGACAGCCTTATTGCTAATATGGAGAAAATTGAAGTATTTTGGATAAAAAATACAACCAGCCATAACATCCTCTTAGGCCAAGGAGGCTCTGAGGTACTCTTCAGTATGTCAACTGCATTTTCCTACTCCACAATTTCTGTGAAGGCTGAGGCGGGTGAGGAAGCTGCAGACAAACAAAACAAAAAAACTGATTCATGTGTTTTAAGAAAACTCCATTGTACTCCAGCCTGGGTGACAGAGTGAGACTCCATTTCAAAAAAGAAAGAAAGAAAGAAATTACCATACACCACACAGACCTTCTGGGGACTCTCTTAGATAACTGATAGAATTTTGTATGCTGACAGTTCAGACATAAGCAACACTAAAAATTGCCTGGCAAGACATGTCATCACAAGTCGGAATTCACCCTGGGAATATAAGTTTCTGATGGAATTTAAATAAATTCAGATGGTTAATTGCACTCACCTGGACCTGCCAGCTGATGACAGATAAAAGAACAAATATGTATACTAACAGTCGGGATGATCTGCAAGTTACATCACCACTTCCAACTGTCTTGACAACAAAAGGTTTATGTCTAGAGTACTGGGTTGAGGTCAGGCAAAATGAAAATAGCCTTAGGGGCCACCCCATGCAATAGGAAGCAGCAGTGCAGAATAAGGGAGTACAGACATAAAAGCAAACAAGTTCAAAGGAAAGGCAAAAAAAATTGTCCCTTTAGAGGTCAAGAGAGAAGGGAAATTGAAGAAGGAAAGAGTTGACTAACAGTGACAAATGCTGTAAAGAAGTTAAAGAGGGTGAAGACTGACAAAATCAACCGGACTTTGCAAAGAAGTTTACACTGACGTTAGAAAACATGGTTTCAGCAGACTGCTGCTTCTGAGCACACACCACAAAAGTTTCCCACAGAGCAGATCATGGAGAAGATGACTGCTATAAACCTGGCAGGACAAGATGACTGCTATAAACCTGGCAGGACAAGATGACTGCTATAAACCTGGCAGGACAAGATGACTGCTATAAGCCTGGCAGGACAAGATGACTGCTATAAACCTGGCAGGACAAGATGACTGCTATAAGCCTGGCAGGACAAGATGACTGCTATAAACCTGGCAGGACAAAGAGAAAGGCGGGCTTCACTGTAGACAGAAAGATGGAGGGACAAATGCATGCTCTAAGTCTCACTCAAATTTCAGGCTTTGAAAAACATTCTCACAGCAATGAGAAGCTTCAAAGCTATCAGCCACCTTACCTGGGAAAGGCACAAAGGCATGTCGCATGCTAACTGAAAACGGCATTCCTCTGTCTGCAGCTCTCTCCTCCGTCTGTGCCTGGCATCCAGGGTTCAGGCTCCAACACTTTTTATTTTTTCCTCTGTGATACAAACTACATCATCAGCTAAACATAAAGCAGTCTCAAATGTAGGAAAAAGATCTAATTTTCAGCAACATCAGTATTTGCAGCTAAGAAACAGAATAAAAACCTTATCTGAGAGTTGGATATGATAGCTCACACCTGTAATACCAGCACTTTGGGAAGCCAAGGCGAGCAGATTGCTTGAGCCTAGGAGTTCAGGACTAGTCGGCAACAAAGTGAGACCCTCGTCTCTATAAAAATTAGCCAGGCAAGGTGGCACATAGCTATAGTCCCAGCTACTCAGGAGGCTGAGGTTGGAGAGCTGCTTGAGCCCAGGAGGTGGAGGTTGCAGTGAGCCGAGGCACCACTGCTCTCCAGCCTGGCAACAGAGCAAGATTCCATTTCAAAACAAAACAAAACAAACCTGAGAATCACTTTAAAGCTTAACAAAGATACTAGAACTCTTTTAGCAAACATTCAATTAAACATGAAGTAGCTTCTTTACACATGGACTCAGGATTCAAAATGGTCTAGGACAGAAATGGGTATGCCTGAAACATAAACTAATTTCATTTATTTGTCTAATAAGCTATTTTGAGCCATTCGTACTTACATAAATTTATTAATACAGATCCAGAGAAACAGTGCCTACCTGCCCATGGGAAGTAGGCCTTTGCCTACAGCTTGAGAAGGTGGGCTTTCTCCTACTAGTGTTGGCATTTTGATTTCAAAATCTCTTGGCACATTCTGAATATTTGGTTCTGTAAAGGTTATTCGTCCTGAAATCAAGCAGAATAAAGACATAAAATTAGAAAAAGAAATCTGGTTATTTAACGGTATTCACATTTCTGGATTACCTTAAAAATACAGACTATATCAATGCTGAACTAAAATAAATTTATATTTAAATATTTTTCATCATGTTCATGTGTCTAACAATGATAAAATAAGTACAAGACCATCCCAAAATAAATGAATATATAAATTGTCTACAATATTATGTTTTACATAGAAAACAATCCCACAGTGAGAAATAATCTGATAAACTGAACTATTCCTTGAGTATCAGATTTCAGCACTATAACATGTTAGCAGTCATATTAATGAGTAAAGGCTAATCAAATGGATCTTAGGAGAAACAACCACTGAAGCCTCTTTGCCCATCACTTTCAGACATCACTGTCTTTCTTCATCATCATTATGATTAATCAAGAGAATCAACAATAGTACTGACTAGAAGTACTGAATCAAGTGGAGACTTGAATCAGGTGGTTAATAGCAAATTTTCCAGAGAATAGAAAGTTTAAAAAAAAAAAAAAAGCATATAAGTCTAGCCAACATAGTAAAATCCCATCTCTACTAAAACTACAAAAAATTAGGTGGGCATGGTGGCAAGTGCCTGTAATCCCGTTACTTGGGAGGCTGAGGCAGGAGAGTCATTTGAACCTGGGAGGTAGACATTGCAGTGAGCCAAGATCACACCACTGTACTCTAGCCTGGGCAACAGAGTGAGATGTCTCCAAAAAAANAAAAAAAAAAAAAAAAGATTGTAAAGCCTTTATTTCCCAAAATATTTCACAGTTTGTTTACTTGTTTGAATTTCTCTAAACATGTAAGTACCACACCAAAAAAGTTTGAGTAATTTTGTGTGATTTTTATAACACTATCAGCAACACTAAAACTCTATTTTATGACACACTCTTCATTATAACAGGCTGACTACTAGCTATGTATAACTCCATCATCTTCTGATAAATCAGACATTTTAAGTGTTCAGTTAATGATAACCTTTTATATAATTGTTGTCATTAAATGGCCTGTTCAATGTTACAAAGCTAACAAATAACAGAGGAGGGCATCCCAGGCTCTTTTTACATCAACACATTGCCTTCTTTTCTATAACACTTCGTATTCAGCACACTGCCCTGGTCTATTAGTTGAATTAATGAGGCAACACTGGCAGACCAAAAAAAAAATGGTAAAAATAAATTACAAAGCATGAATATATAGCTTAACAGATATGAAGTACATTGATGAAAGGCTTTGCTTTGCTTAAGTTTGTATTTCTAAAATATTATAAAAGTTATTTATTAAAATATATTTCTAAAATCAGTAATAAGAATAGAATTCTTATTACTGGTTTTACCTTCTGCTTTGTAAAGAACAAATAAATGTGCAACACCTTTGAAAACTCTAGGTAGATGTTTTTTCATCACCAAAGATTTTATTTCATGTAAGTTTATATCATTATCATATGTTTCAAAGTGAAATTTAAATACTAACAGGGCAAGATATCACTGGGATGGGACAAGAGATTAGCTAAATCGGAAGAAAGAAGAATTAGAAAGTTTAAAACAAGAGATAAAGCAAGCAGACAAAAGCAGCGCCTTATGGAACCTCCATGCTAGATAATAGTAACCAACAGTGAGTGCTTTCTAGGAGCCATGCACTGTTCTAAATATTCTACATCTATGAACCTATTTAATCCTCAGAATCACCAGGTGAAGTAAGACTGTTATTGCCTTGTTTATTTGTTTATTGATTGACTGAGACAGGGTCTCACTCTGTTGCCCAGGCTGAACTGCAATGGTGCAATCACAACTCACTGCAGCCTTGACCTCCCAGGCTCAAGCGATCCTCCTACCTCAGCCTCCCAAGTAGCTGGGACTACAGGCACAAGATATCACACATAGCTAATTTTTTGACTTTTTGTAGACACATGGTTTCACTCTCTTGCCCAGGCTAGTCTCAAACTCCTGGGCTCAAGTGACCCTCCGGTCTTAGCCTCCCAAAGTGCTGGGATTACAGGCGTGAGCCACTGTGCCTTGTATCATACATGAAAAAACTTAGGCATTGAAAGGTTAAGTATCTTGTCATAAATATTTATAGAACCAGGATTCAAATACTGATTTCTGATGTCAAAGCCCACATTCTATACCACCAATCTAACCAGGCACCAATACAGCCTCCTCTATGAATGAGTTAAAGTCACCTTTCTTCCACTACACATCACATTTGGCAAATACTTAGAGTTTTATACTGCCTAGAGAAAGAATGCATTTTTTCTCATAAGATTACACTCTTACTTATTTCAAGAGGACCATGAGATATCCAAAGAGCGCTACAGCTTTCTTTTCTGCTTGGGTGAAATAAGATGCTTATACAGATGTCCCAGAGGCCTACACAGATTCAACTCAGAGAACTCTTAAGAGGCTCAAAAAAGGGATGGGACTGAAACTAGGTAAGACCACCGACTCAAATGTTTAATTCCTGTGTATACTCACATTGAAAGCACTATCTCAGACATCCCAGTTACTCTATACAAGTACTTAAAAGCAGGAAACAGGCCAGGCACAGTGGCTCACTGTAATCCCAGCGCTTTGGGAGGCCAAGGTGGGTGGATCACCTGAGGTCAGCAGTTCAAGACCAGCCTGACCAAAATCTTGTCTCTACTTAAAATACAAAAATTAGCCAGGCATGGTAGTGTACACCTGTAATCCCAGCTACTCAGGGGGCCGAGGCAGGAGAATCACTTGAACCCAGGAGGCAGAGATTGCAGTGAGCCAAGATCATGCCACTGCACTCCAGCCTGGGCAACAAGAATGAAACTCTGTCTCAAAATAAATAAATTAATTTTAAAAAATAAAAGCAGAAACCAATACTGATCTCTGTACCTAGGTAGAATCTACCTATGCTTTGAATAAAGCATGTAGTTTATAGTTTTAAAACTTCACTTGAACCCCATGATCAATACTTGAATTCTTGGCCATCATAAGAAATACTGCATATGAAAATGTTTTTCCTTCAAAATTGGACACCGTTTATACTTAAGATTTCTCATCACCTGTAGCAGTGTGTGACTGTGACACAGGATAGATTCTTTCCATTCCAAGAAAAGGATTAAGACGCTTTTCCCGCTGAAGAGGAAAGACCACTTTGGTAATAGCATTAGTGATTCTTCTCCATTCTAATATCAAGCCTGGTAAAGGATGTAATGCCTTTAATTTATTTAAAACATCCTACAAAAAAAATATAATAAGGTAAGATTGAATTCTTGTCCAAATTCCACAGCAAGCTAGAATCTCTTTTATGTAAGTAATACTGTCTCAAAATTAAATCTGAGAGTAATATCTACAACTCAAAACTATTTCTTGGGTTTTAACCGCCATATTGATAAGACTATAACTACAGCTTATAAAATGCAAATGTGGTAATGCTGAGCATGATCAATTTAAAATTACCTTTTTCAAATAAATGAGTTGTCAGTTTAACAAAGCAACTGCCTACCCACACCCCACCAAAAGTTTACTTTACATCATCTGTTTTCTTTATGCATTTTCCTCCTCCACTCCTCACACTACTGGAAGTATCCCAGCTGTTTTTCTTCTTGCCCAGAAACTTACATAGTTTCCATATCAAGGTAATCAGGAGACATCTATTTTTAAAACTTTGAATTTTTTGTACTATAGACTTTCAGTGAACTATTAAGGAACAGAAACTTGTGAGTAAAAGGGCCAGTGAGAATAAATAAAAAATTGTGCTACAGCCTGGAGCTAAGGAAACTTCCTAGGAGCAGACAAGTCATACATCATGGTATAAGGGCTGAAATTCTACACAAAGGCAACTTGAACAGCTCTATGCCATATTTTCCACCGTATTTTTCCACTAAAACTTCAGTAAGAATGTAAAATTAAGCTCTTTCTCTTTTCTCTCCCACTAATGCATAGTTTCCAATGGTTTATGATTAACAATTTTACTTTGAAATTAGCAGATTAAATTCTTTTTTAAAAGGAATATAAAACTATTTATTAACCACTGTTTAGCATTATTTACAGTAAATACCGATACATTCTGATTACTACAGAGTTGTTTTTCTTGGCTTTTGCTGAACCTGTAAAGCAAATAACTGAAAGACTGACCTTACATGTAAGGAATGGGTTGGGGTAAAGAAAAAACATACAGGTCAGTAGCTTAGATTACAAAAGGTTGTTCACACATTTATGGCAGCAGATCCTAAACTGCCAACATCTCTAACCAGCTGATTAGGTTTCTATGAGCCAAGTCTTAGATATTCCATAAATCATGACCTTTTAGTCAACACAGCAATAGGATTTCAACAGTTTGTTAAAAATGGCCTGCTAGAAGATTTTTTAATGTTCATTTAACTTAGTTTAGCTAATTAAAACACACTAGCATTTGTCTAGTTTCCTCATCTGGATAGGAAAACCTCCTATGATGGCAGTGATAAAATTTTTCCTTTTAGGAATTTTGCAAACAAAAAACTGCATTTATAGATATAGTTGCTTTAAAACTATCCAATTTAAATTGTCATATTAATTAGAATCACTTATTTCTTCACATATTTGAAATGTATGGCTTCAGGAAAATTTTCTATTTAACCTGAAGTGATTATCTTTTATTTTGCTTGGAATAATGGCATCTCAGAAACATGGGTTTGCCTGTGATTTTTTGTTTTGGTGAATGTTTAAAAACAAAAAAAAAAATTATACATGCATTTTATGTATACATACACACACACAAAACATATAAAAAACGTAGAATGGTCCTTAGGCTTATGAGAACACAAGTTTGATTGAGTAATGACTATGGACATTTCCCCCAATATTTAGAAAAGCTGTTCTTTAATGTAGAGGAAATAATATACCATAGTAACAAATGTTCTTTTCTGATCAGGGAAGTAACTACAGAAAGCTTTTATTTATTTGTTCAAAGTAACCAGTGCTATGGATGGAAAAAAAAAAAAACAAAAAACCAAAAACCCCAACAACTCTTTCAATGCTACTTTCAAAATGAACATATCAAACTTGATTTTCATTAGGATGTAGTCATTTTGTCTCACTAGTAAATCAAAAACCAAGGCCCAAATTTACATATGTGTGTGTGTGTGTGTGTGTGTGTGTGTGTGTGTGTGTATGTATGTATGTATGCATATATGAAAAACAATGTGAACAATTATTGAGCTTCATCTTCTGGACAAGAATGTCAAGTTAGTCTCTCTTCATAAAAACCAATTACAATTTGAGGACACTTTATATTTGCCTCTTTTGCCAGCACCAAGTCTGCCTCATCTGAATCTTTCCATTTCATGAGAAACATCAATTCTCCACTGCTGTCTGTGGCACCAATTATTCTTTCATGATCAAGACCTCTGGCAAATCCTCTTGGTTTGTCAGCAGCGTCTCTTCTCTTCTTTGATTTGCTGTCATCAGATTCACTGTCAGATAATTCTTTTTGTACCATCTTTTTCTTTGCCAGCTTTTTGAGAATTAAGAAACACTTCAATCAACTCTGGACTTCAGGTTCCCAAGTATTGTCAGCATCTGTAAATCCCTTCCACTTCAGGAAATATTCCACTTTCCCATACACTACACGTCGATCTAGTACTTCTTCCACCACAAATTCCTCAGGCTCTGCCTCTTCAACTTTTTTACTCTTTCCATTCTGTTTCTTTCCCATTTTTTGCAATGTAGTTTTATTGGAGGTCATTTTTTATTGCAGACTTGAAGAGATATTATTCACCGCCTCCGAGCTGCTCCGGGTAGCGGGTCTGCAGGTCTCCGGCCTTGCGCGCCTCCAGCTCGAGCCACATCCGAGGGGGATGGAGACAGGAGCTGCACGCCAGGCCATGGGTGGGGGGAATGGAGGGATGGCACCACCCCGCCTACGCTGGGCGGCCACAAAGAGGGGCACGGTGGGCGCCGGCTGGGAACTGGGGCCCAAGGGTGGACCAGATTAAATTCTTAAGTCAAGGCCTACTGTGGTGGCTCTTGCCTGTAATGCCAGCACATTGAGAGGCCGACGTGGGAGGATCCCTCCAGGCCAGTAGCTCAAGAACAGCCTGGATGACATGGTGAAACCCTGTCTCTACTGAAAATACAAAAATTAGCCACGAATGGTGGTACACACCTGTAGTCCCAGCTACTTGGGAGGCTGAGGCATGAGAAATTGCTTTAACCCAGTAGGTGAATTTTCTAGCGAGCATGGTGCTACTGCACTCCAGCCTGGGCAATAGGGTGAGACTCTGTCTCAAACAACAAATTAAAAATAATTCATGAAAAACTTACTATTTTGCCTTTAAACTAAAAGTAATATATTTGTTCTGACTGGGTTCCTTTCTTTTTAAAAATTCTTACATAGCTTTCTCTATGTTCATATAACTATATGAATTAAGTAATATTAGATGTCCAAGAGTAATGGATGGCAATAATTAAATAATGTCTTTGAGGTTCGGTTTATAAACCTTTATACCATTTTAATGATAGGAAGAAGGGACACAACTGCTAACTAAGATTATGATTTGAATTTTCCATGCAGAAAATCTCCACAGAATTTGTGGGCTACCAAACCACAAACCAATATGTTAATCTATATCTGGGTAAATTCAAATGGTGGACTCAGATCTTGATTTCATCAGCATTCTTTCTAGACATCAAAATGCTAAAAAACAGTTCAGGTTCTGCCCGGCTCTGTGACTGCCCCAAAGAGCACCTTACTAGTGCTGAGCTGTCTTCCCAGCCTTAGCTTGCGTCCACTGTCATTCCCTCTTCTCGTAGAACCCAAAGTTTTCTTGCTGCCTTGGTTTTTCATCTCTCCATTTGGGGGCAACTTCAATTCCAAAAATAAAACCTGTAAGAAATTAATGCCTCTTTAGTCAAGAATGAAACTTGCAAAGAGTATCATTCAGAATTTATTTTAGAAAAAACTCTACAGTTCAAGATGGACTGAAAGAATGTTTCTCTGGATAATTTGGAATTACCATATTTAACAAATGATGGCTATGAAAATGCATATGTCAGGTAGTCTATCCATACTCTAGGCACTATCAGATTAACACTAACACAAGGCCTTCTTTTTTTTTTTTTTTGAGACAGGATCTCACTGTCATCCAGGCCAGAGTGTAGTGGTGTGATCACGGCTCACTGTAGCCTTGACCTCCTGGGCTCAAGTGATCCTCCCACCTCAGCCTCCTGAGTAGCTGGGGCCACAGGAGTACACCACCATGCCCGGCTAATTTTTATATCTTTGGTAGAGACAGGGTTTCACCAGGTTGGCCAGGGTGGTCTCAAACTCCTAAGCTCAAGCAATCCACCTGCCTCGGCCTCCCAAAGTGCTGGGATTACAGGCCTAAGCCACCACTTTGACATGGCCTAAGAAGAAGCCAATAATATTAAAGGTGCTTTACTCTTAGTCCAGAATTTGCTCGAGGCCTGTACTTTACATGCTTTCAGGCCCATCTGAATCACAATGGCAATAATTCCTGCCTTTGCCCCAAACCTACTTGTGCTGAAACAGAGATTCTGTATTTTCTGTAAATTCCCTATGTAATTTTATGTGCAGTCAGCTAGGTATTGGTTTGGGGACTTCTGAGCTAAAGAATTTAAAAGAAGATACCAAAAAGGAAGAAAAATAAAAAGGTACTACTGAATTCAACACATGAATAAGAGAAACCAAGTTCCTCATTTTCTTTAAAATACGTTAACGAAGAAAAAGAAAACCAAATACTGCACGTTCTCACTTATAAGTGGGAGCTAAATGATGAGAATTCATGAACATAAAAAAGGAAACAATAGACAATGGGGTCTACTCAAGGGTGGAGGATGAAAGAAGGGAGAGGAGCAGAACAAATAACTACTGGATGCTGGGCTTAATACTTGGGTGATGAAATAATCTATACAACAAACCCCCATGACACGATTTACCTATATGACAAGCCTTCACATGTACCCTTAAACCTAAAAGTTAAAAAACATAAAACGTTTGTATTTAAATTTTATAGTTGCGTGAAAAAAAAAAAAAACATAAAACATAACTGTGGCTTTAAAAAGGACACTTTTATAAGGATATTTAACATTTATTGACCACTTACTACAGAATGGTCACTTATTATTTATACCTCACTACAACCCTATGAGGAATTTTTATGACAACCCCCCTTTACTGAAAATTGACACATAAAGAGTTTATACATTGGCCCAAGGCTCTGGAACTAGTTAATAAATGGAGGAGGTAAGATTCAAACCCAAGAAGTCTGGCTCCAAAGTCTATGACTTTTACCAATATGCTATATTACAGAATCACAACTAGAAGACACAAGAACTTCAATGCTATCAAACGTAAGCATCCACTTTGTGTCTGTAACCCCTCTAAAACAACGCAATCACCCTTTGTTAGGGACGTAGTGTGGTTGAGAGGAGAGAACGGAATACCAATATATGAAAATAAAACAAAGGTAAAATTTGTCAACATTTATGTAAGGAAGCAAAAACCTTAATTAAGTTTAAAAAAGGAAACAGTCAGAAAAATCCCTTTTTCATTTACATCTCTGAAAAATACCCAATTTCCTATTCTATAGAAAGATGTTAGAGCAAGCAAGGAGGAGTGAGGGCTTACAAAATGACTAACTTCATGGAGAAACAGCTATGCTGTCATGCAACCACCACTACCAATCATTTCTTCAACAAATATTTAGTGAGTGCCTCCTCTGTTCCAGGCAAATCTCCTTCTTGAGGAGTTTACATTCTAGAAGTACTCTTCACTACCTTCCTTTATTTGTAAATTAAATACAGATACAATTTACAAATTAGATGTTAGAATTTTCCCAAAGCAATCTGGTTAACTGGCTGTTTCATTTTACTGACCTTAGGTGTTCAGGTAAATACACACACACACACACACACACACACACACACACACAATCATGTTAACTCTAAAAATTATTTATCTATATTCCTATCCCCATGATACAACCTCAGCGATGTCATCCGAACTGGTGAAAGAAAAACTGTGGCCAGCTAGTTGATAGGCCTGGGTCTCAATTGCATCCAGCTTGGCTTGCAGTATGTGTTTCTGACTTTCACATTCTGCAGTACTGAAGCCGATTCCATTTAGTTCTAGCAAGGCCAAGCAGTACTGAGAGGGCATTTCCACTTTGCAGAAAACATCTGGAAGAAAAAAAGAAAACTAAAACGTTATCATTGGCTAAGTGACTGATCAGCAGCCTTACCTAAACCACACAGAATTCATCTAGGAAAATCCAGAAATGCTACCAAGCTATCCTTCAGGATCCAGTCTCCTGAGCAGCACTCTCAAGCCAACAATGAAAGGTGGAAAATTATAGGCTAGTTTAGCACTGGCAACTATCCTTGTCTCTGCAGAGAGTAGAAGAGTCGGCAATCTTGTGAATAGTCTGGATTACAAGAGACTATTTATTTCTCCCAAGACGTTTCGGCTTCTACTCTTAGCAGGAGCATAGCAACCAACCTTATTTTGAAATCCAAAATGCTCTAAAATCTGAAACTTTCTGAGCACTGACATGACACCACAAGTGGGACATTCCATACCTGACTTTTTGTGACAGGGCACAGTCAAAATGCAGGTGTATAACACAAAGCTTATTCAACATCTCTAAAGGAAAAAAGCCCCTCCTTGCCCCATTCAGCTTCAATATATCTTTTCTGCCACCAGACTGTCTAAATGGGTGGCTGAGACAGTGACACCTTTGCTTTCTGATGGCTCAGTATACACAAATTTTATTTCATGCATAAAATTATTAAATACATTGTATAAAATTATCTTTAGGCTAAGTATATGGGTATCTATGAATTCTACATTTAGACTTGGGTCTCATCCATAAAATGCCTCATTATATATATGCAAATATTTCAAAATCCAAAAAAATCTGAAATGTAAAACACTTCTGGTCCCGCATTTTGGATAAGGCAGACTCAACTGACATATTAAAGGCCCTGAGAGGACCTGAAGCAAAGACAACTATTTAATTTTAAGTGAAAGTCCCCAATTTTATTTGACCATTAAACCCCTTTTTCATATAATACTTATTAACATCTTGAAAAGTAAGCATCCATGGAATGTACTATGGATAATGCTATCCTAAATCATTAAGAAAGAATCCCTAAGACTTCAGCTTCCAGTACTGAGTCACTAGGAATTTACGCAACCCTGGTCCACCCTCCCCAGCTCCAAACACATTCTTTGAGGCACTGCTGGTCTCAATCAGCATAAGAAATCTCCAGGGAAACCCATAACCACCACCAAAAGCAAAGAAACAAATGAGAAGTTAATGGCCTCTAACCACCTGCAGAAGGTACGGGGCAGTCAGAGCTTGGCTTTAGGAGCCTGGAACCAGTGGAGAAATTCATGTTATTTGAGACTAGAGAAATAATGACCTTGGGTCATAGCAGGAACAATCAGAGAAGCACAAAGTAAGAGTGGCAGGGAGCTAGCCTGGATCCATAGGCATTAGGAAGGAGCAAGGTTGTTTCGGGAATGGAGTCCCCTAGCAAAAAAGTTTAAGGGGATATAGATCCTTGAAACAACAACAGGATGAGGAGCTGAGCCTCAGTCCTCACTCTTGTTCTGAAACAAAACTCTCAAAGAAAGGCTACTGTGGTCCTTGGATGCGGAGTAGTCTGGTACTCAGCAAAAGCAGGAGCAAAACCTTTCTAAAGGATGGCTTCCCACAAGTAAGTTCTGCAGGGATCCTTGATTATAATAAATAGTGTATGAACTCACAAAAAATATGAAAAATACAAGAGAGCAAAGAAATGTGAACAGGACTCAGAAGAAACAACCAAGAACAAATTTAGATCCCCAAAATAGCAGATAAGGATTAGTTAGAATAGAGCGCAACTGTGAACAAACTACTGACAAAACAAAAAGTGACTAGAAACAAACTAAAACAGTAGGAAAATAGAGTACAAGTATATCAATAATCATAATGAGCAGAAATACATCAACAATCACAATAAATTGGTAAATTTGTAAAAAAAA